CTTTTTGGCAAGTGTATGTTTGGTGTTTGAACAACGTGGCCAGCCTATTGGAATTGCGCTCTCTGCATTAGAGTTTGAATGTCTGGCAGTTCGGTGTGAGAAAGGACCTCACTGTCTGGTATCTTATCCTGCCAGGTGATCTTCAGAATCTTCCTAAGACAATTCAAATGAAAGCAATAAATAGGAGAATCAATGAAAACATGGATCCACTGAAGGAGTGCTGGAGAAGAATAAACATTACTTATAGCTGTCAATCATGAAAACATCCTATTTCTGGCTGCATTGTTCACCACAAAATGAAGTAGGCAGAATGCCAAGGCAGATGCTTACATAATTTTTTTTTTTTTACTAAAAGACAGTGTTTTAACTGTTAATGGACAATGGGCTAAAGCATGACTACAATCAGACTTAACTGAGGACATAAAAAATTTATCGTAAAAACAGAATAAGCTAAGATTAGAAGGAAAGTAGGAAAGTGGGGGGGAGGGAATTTATAGCAAATTTCTCTTACAAAGGCCTCATTTCTCAAATATATAAGGTCCTAAGCCAAATTTATAAAAAAACAGACCATTCCCCAATTGATAAATGATCAAAGGAGATGAACAGGCAGCTTTCAGAAGAACAAATCAAAGCTATCAACAGTTGCATAAAAAATGCACTATTGATTAGAGAAATGCAAATTAAAACAACTCTGAAGTATCACCTCACACCTGTCAGATTGGCTAACATAATAGAAAAGGGAAAAAGACAAATGCTGGAAGGGATGTGGAAAAATTGAGACACTAATGTAATGGTGGAGTTGTGAACTGGTCCAGCCATTCTGGAGAAATTGGAACTATGTGCAAAGGGCTATAAAACTGTGCACACACTTTGACCAAGAAATACTAGGTCTATGTACCAAAGAGAACAAATGAAAGGGAAAACTGACCTATTTGCACAAAAATATTTATAGCACCTTTTTTGTGGTGGCAAAGAATTGTACATCAATTAGGGAATGGCTGAACAAAAGTTGTGGTATATGATTGTGATGGATTACCATTGTGCTATAAGAAATGATGATTTCAGAAAAACCTGGGAAGACTTTAATGAACTGATACAAAGTGAAGTGAGAAGAACCAGAAGAAACTGTACACAATAACAGCAATAGTGTAACGATCAACTGTAAAAGACTGAGCTACTCTGATTAAGACAGTGACGCAAGATGATTCCAAAAGACCTATGATAAAACATGTTATCCACCTCCAGAGAGAGAGAACTGATGAACTCCGAACACAGACTGAAACATACTTCTTTCACTTTATTTTTCTTGGTTTTATTTTGGAGGAATGGTTTCTTTGGCAACATGGCTAATATGGAAATATGTTTTGCATGATTTCACATGTATAATTGATATCATGGTGCTTACCTTCTCAAGGGGTGGGGGAGGGGTCTATAGAAAGGAGAGAATTTGGAACTCAAAATTTAAAAAGATAAATGTTAAAAAATTTTGATGTGATTGTTGAATATAAATAAACAATATATATTTAACATTAAAACAGAATGACAAACCAAATATTATAAATTATTTATAATATTAAAATCACAAGGATTTATAAATATAAATATATTTGAAAGATAGTCTGATATCTATTGTGGAAAGAATATTAGACTTGGAATCAGGAGTCCTGAGTTTGTATTTTGCCTCAGTATCATTTATTAGATTAGACTGTGAGATCCTTCAGAGCAGGGGCTGTTTCTGCCTTTCTTTGCATGCTCAGTGCTTAGCCCACTGTCTGGTATATAGAAGGTGCTTAAGAAATGCTTGTTGACTTGACTTAGTACTTATTAGCTCTGTGTCTACAGGCAAGTCATTTAACCCCTCAGAATTTTGGTTTCCCCCTCTATACAACAGGCACAATAATACTTTTTTTTTTTACTTACCTACCTCAAATTGAGGTTGTGAGAAAAGTATTTATAAAGTTCTATGTTTTGGGAGTTTTTTTTAATCTGAGTTTTCTTTCACAACATGACCAATATGGAAATATGTTTTGCATGACTGTATGTGTATAACCTATATCAAATTGCATGCCTTCTCAATGAGGCGAGAAGGAAAGGGAGAGAATATGGAACTCAAGATTTTAAGAAAACAAATGTTAAAAATTGTTTTTACATGTAATTGGAAAAAGTAACCTATTTAAAATAAAAATAAAGTTCTACATGAGTGAGTTTTTACTACAAAAAGATGTCATGATGGATGAATATACCTCTTCTTTGAAAATGGGCAACACTTCCATCATAGTTACAGGGCCTTGCATAACAAGTAACTTAGTTCCTTTACCTAAATGAAGATTGCTTAAAGGAATCTTTTTCAACTAAGCTACATTTCAACAGCCTCCTTCCAACCACTTAACGATAAAATCATGAGCATAGGCACAACTACAGATGGGTCCTGATCAGAAGACTAATAAATCTCCTGAAGTGGTCAAATTATTTGAATTCACACTGTATATTTCTATTGAGCTGGAAGCAAAGACCAAAATGTATATAATTATGATTTAAAATAATATGGATTAAAATAGCTTTTTCCTATTCACTTTTCTTATGCATTATTACTTTTAATGGAAGAATGCCAAAGAAATTCTTCTTCCCCCATGAAATTTCATAGTAGGGATGTGGTAATAATTTACTTTCATAAGAAAATATTTTAGATTTTTTTCTATAGTTGACGACCAAAACCTAAATGATATAAGTATTAACATTTAATAATTTTCCACTTATTTCTGAGAACTAAGATTTGTGCAATGAAGAGCTTCAGTTCATGAAGAAAGCAGCATCAATAATCAGGGAAGATAGCATCAGGAAACTTCTCCTTGGTGTACATTTATTTTATACTCCAAAATGTATGGCACAGTGACATAGGTATAAAAGGACTTAACCATTTTAAGTAAAATTTTTGCAACCATGCATTTTCATTAGCATACAAATTGACATCACCTATTGCTTTTGAATTGTGAAGAAGCAAAGTTGAAGATGTAAATGTAGTCAACAGTACAGCAATTCGGTTTGCTACATTTTGGTAATATGCTTTTGTATAACCAAAATCTATTCTGTAGACAATATGTTAAGAATGAAGTGAGGGGGCAGCTAGGTGGCACAGTGGATAGAGCTCCATCCTTGGAATCAGGAGGACCTGAGTTCAAATCTGGCCTCAGACACTTGACACTTACTAGCTGTGTGACCTTGGGCAAGTCACTTAACCCTGACTGCCTCACCAAAAAGAAAAAAAAAGAATGAAGTGATGTTTTATATTAGTATTACTACACCTCTGTTATTGAACTTAAGCTTTTGTTTAAGGCATGGGGGGGAAACCTGCAGCCTCAAGGTCACATGTGGCCCTCTAGGTTCTCAAGTGTGGCCCTTTCCAGTCTTTGACTTAAGGACCTAGAGGGCCACGTGTGGCCACGAAGCTACAGGTTCCCCACCCCTGGTTAAAGGAGTAAGGGAAGAGTTTTTTTTAAGAAAGTCCCCAAAACTGGATCATTTATTCATACCTTTCAAGTCTCTGTGATAACAAGAGGAAGGAAGGTAATATTTTGTCTATTTAATCCTTCACCCAGGAATCTCAGAACACTTCAAAAAAATCTAGTTGCAAGAAAAATTATCTTTATTTTTCAAACATAAAAACTATGTATTATAAATTATAATTTTCCTGAAGACACAAGTGAATTAGTAGCTAAGCCAAATTTTCATTATCTTAACCTTTCTTGCAGCTTAGACATACTAAATGATGACAGTAAAAACAAAGTGTTCATATTTAATTTTTAACTAAACAGATGACTTAGTAAATGGGTTGGGTCATGACTAGACTTTTCAAATATCCATGTTAAATATAATAAATAAAAACAATTGGACAAATATAGGGAGTAAGTATATCTCACTCCTTTCCAGGTAGGGTAGTTGTGGGGGGAAAAGTACTAGAATTGGAATTGAGACCTGCGGTCAAAACCCATGGGGCTTTGCCACTTGTTACCTGGATGTCTCCAAGCAAGATGCTTAACTCTTCTTTGCTTAAATCTTCTCTACAGTGTAATGAGTTTGGGATCAAATTAGTTTCAAGGCACCCTCCTAACTATGGATCTGGGATTCTGGATCTGGCTGCTGAACCTGAAAAAAGGGGGGACTTCCTCTCTCTCCCCAACAAAGTGGTCATTTCATGTTCATGTAAGTTTTATGTTCTAATATGCTGTTTCATCTTAAGATACATCCTGGAGGGCTGCCATGTCAATAAATGTTCTACAGAAGTATCTAGCACATTGGGATGCCTAGATTCAAGTTTCACAAATAAGGTATTTAATTCTAACTGGTGTTAGTGGGAAAGAAGTTAAAAAAAAAACAGGCAGAGAAAAGTACTAAACATATTTCATGTCTCCTCTTCCCTCATCCTGCTCTCTATCTCTCCCACCCCCTTCTTTTTTTTCTTCATTATTAAGCATCTGGATGCAGTTACTGTTATGCCTTATACAATTTAGATAACATCATGTCTAACTCAGGGAGTTAATCTAGTAGGAAGATAAGACATAAACTATAATATAAGACAACTGTAACACAAAATATTATATGATTAAGTACATTAGAGAGTTGCAAAAGAAAATCTGAGTTGGGCTTTAAAATACAGATAAGAATTTGAAATCCAAGGGGAGGAGAAAAGGCACTGTGGTCCAAGTGAACATTGAGCAAACAGTGAGAGTAAAGGCCATGTTGATGGCCCTCAGGACACATCCCAAGGCAATCTTAAGTGAGAGGAAGCAGAGCTGCTGAAGTATAACTCCACTTTGCCCTGAGCTCCTTCCTCAATTAGTGCTGCCATCAGCACAACATGGAAACTCCAGGAAGAATCTGGAAGTGGGTCCCAAAGATGGTGGCCAGGTAAATGTCTGCACAGGTAAGTTTAAAAAAATTATTATTTGCAAAGATGTAACAACATGACTTTCACATATATAATAACATATAAGCAAATTTACCTCTGTCATTAACTCCAGTGGTGCAACATTTTCCCCAACATATTCATCATTATATTGCTTCTCATCATCACCTTCTGTAGTTTCTGACAGTCTGTCATCAGGACTTTGTGAGGAATCCTCATTATTTTCTGCAACTTCTATATCTTGACCTATATTTCAATCAAAATACAGAATGAATATTCTTTAGATGATCAGCCTTCAAAAACTAAGAAATTCAAAGCTGATATTCCCAGACCTGTGACATACAACAACATAATCTGGAACTGATTCTGCCCTCTGGTTTTCTGTTTTGGAGCACATCCTTTCAAAGTCAAAGAAAATAAACTGATCTCATTTTTGAATACCTCCGCAACCAAAGAGCCTCTCATTTGCTCAACAGACCAGAAGGGGTCTCTGGGTGGTCCACAGCCTCTCCCGGGTACTTTCCTAACTCTTCCTCATTGGATATCCCAGAAGCAGGTTCTCTCACCTCCTCCTCCATGGGCAGAGATGCCTCGTGAGGCACTCCCCACCAACCAAGATCTCATAACACTTTTTTTTAAAGGCAGCATTGTTGTGCAACTGGAAGAAAAGCACCAACCAACTTAGCACTTGAGGTGTAGAGACAGTGTGGAAGGATGGCAGGAATATCAGATTTGTGGTCAGACACAACCTTGGATTGATCAATCAATCAAATGATCAACAAACGTTTGTCAGGGGTTACTCTATGACAGGCATATGAAGCAGTCCCTGTCCTCAAGAAGCTTATGTTCTATTATGGGAAATGATATATACAGATACAAGTAATATCAAATATAAACAAAGTAAACAGAAAATGAATAGCAATGAACTCAGTCCCTGTCCTCAAGAAGCTTATGTTCTATTATGGGAAATGATACATACACATACAAGTAATATCAAATACAAACAAAGTAAACCGAAAATTCTTTGTTTGGGGGAGGCAGTAGTACATGGGCTTAGAAAGAAGTTAAAGATTTCGACGCCAGCACTTGTTACCATGTAGCCTTGGACAAATGACTGATCTTAGCTGGGGCTCAGCTTCTTCATGTCTAAAGTGGAGATCATAATACTTATATTCTACCTCATTGTGGGGATGAAATGATAACAATGTACATAAAGCACTTTGTAACTGAAAATCACTATATAAATGTAAGGAATTATTATCTTTAAGGACCATATTCTTGTCAAATGCTAGAGATTTCAGTGGACCAAACAAGATACCATTTTATAAAACAAGAAATGAATGCCAGCCATTTAAATGTTTTCCCCAAGAAATGTTTTCTGACTCCTCCACAAAAGCAAAGGAAATGATAATAGCTACCATTTATATCACACTTAAAAGATTTGCAAAGCACTTTACATACGGTATCTCATTTTGATCCTCATAACAAGGATAGGTGGTGCTATTATTATTGTTCCCATTTTACACATAGGGAAACTGAGGCAAACAGAGGTTAAATGACTTGCCCAGGGTCATATAGCTAGAAACGTCTGAGGCAGGATTTGAACTTAGGTCTTTCTGACTTCAGGTTCAGTGCTCTATCTACTATGCTACTTCACTGCCTATATCAAATATGAGGTATAAATAGCCTAACTATTGAGCTAATAATGAAGCATAAGACAGGGGAACTCAAAATATGGAGAGTACTTCTTAGAACAGTCTCTTCAAACCATGAAACATGAGAGAAAAATGCTAAAAAGAACTTTGAATTAAGGAAAGGAATAGAGATAAGAGGAAAGTAGGTTCAATATTAGCAAAGAGAAATTAATATGATCATTGTAAAAAGTGGTTTGAGATCAAAGCCATGATATATATATTCCAATAATTGTATTTTTTAATCAAGACAAATAATAAAATTCCACAGTTCAGCATTTGTATTACATGAGAGGCGGAAAGTGCTAGCCTCTACCTTCATGGAAGTAATCTTAGGGGCTTCTAAAGTGGACCTGTATTGTACTCACCTGTGTCCCCAGGGCTGTCACAGCGTGGACCATCCTGGGAGGTGGTTTCCATGGAAGCAGAGTAACTTGGAGCTGGTCTATCTAGGTAAATATAGAAGCCCACATTTTAAGAATGAAGCAAATGAGGAAAATCAGAAAGTTGAAAAGAAAGTATTAGGGAAGCACAAAAGACCATCACTAAAACTGCTGGGTGGCAAAACACACACAAAAAGCTGAGCCCTCAAAAAGGAGACCCAATTTGTCCAGAGGTGTGGAATTGATGACCAGACTTACCTGTTCCGTGTTTCTGAGGCTCCATTGGCTTAAGTGTGTTGGGGTCCTTTAGGGTAATCCCCGGATTTCAATCAGCCCCTTTTTCTGGAGGACTGACTGCCTGGCTTTACCCAACTTTACAACTGACATCACACAAGAGGTCATAATGGAGGATGAAAAGATGAATAATGTTGGACGAGTCTGAATTGTAAACAGAAACTAGGGCTCCCCAATCAGGAAAGGAAGTTTTTCTTTCCTTGTAACTAATGATGCTACACTTCTCATATGTACAGAGAAGTTCTAATGAGCTAAGAATTAGCTCTGAATAAAGTGAGTTCATTTTTAGATCCCTCACATTGCCATTTGGCATAATATGTATTATAAACTATTTAATCTGGCTATTTTAATTTCCTATTCAGTACCTATAGTTGTCATTAGAGTACAGTATAAATAAATTTTTTATTATGGAAGTCAGTTTAAAAAAACTCATATAAATTAATGGATATAAGCCTTTCTTGAAGCTTATCGCAATAATAACAATACCTAGCCATTTATGTAGCACTTTAAGGTGTGCAAAGCACTTTATGTGTATTATCTCATTTGATTCTGACAACAGCCCTGTGAGGTAGGTCCTTTTAAGGGCAGCTAGATGGAACAGTAGAGAGAACGCGAGGCCTGGAGTCAGGAAGACCCATCTTCCTTAGTTCAAATCTGGTCTCAGACACTTATTAGCTGTGTGACCCTGGGAAAGTCACTTAAACCTGTTTGCCTCAGTTTCCTTATCTGTAAGATGAGCTGGAGAAGGAAGTGACAAACCACTTAAGTATCTTTGCCAAGAAAACCCTAAATGGCTGAAATGACAGAACAATAAACATATGCAGGGCATCGGACGTACAAAGACAAAAATAAAATGGAACTTGCCCTCAAGGAGCTTACATTCTAACAGAGGAGATGACATGAACATAAATTCTGATGTGCAAAGCATTGTGGGGATACAAATCAGAGAAAGTCCCTACCCTCCAGGATTGACAATTTAGTTGAAGAGATAGATAAGAAGGCATAAGAAAGTAGTCACAGGAAAGTCAATAACAGCACGCTCAGTCTCTTCATATCCCTGCACAGATGACTCTAACAACATTCTGGACAGTCAAGATCCTGTTCTTGCCTTAGTAATTCTCATCTTTCAAACTCTTCTCAAAGCTGCGCTAATGGTCCTGTGATAGCAGCAATATCTACTAGGGTCCTGGTCATGTAGGCTGGGCTAATTTTTCGCTAAAAGGCTATTTCTGAGGCTTTTTTTGGTCCAGAGAACAGAGGTTTGAGCCTCTGATGTGGCTTCTCAGTTGTATAGGGTAGGAAAAAGACAGTGTGCAGGGAGTCAGTGAGCCTCAGATTTAATGGATGTCTCCCTGCCGTGAAAGTCAACACATGCTTCTGACCATTATGTGTTTCTGTACGGAGGGGAGGGGCCTGCATCTGCCTGACCCAGTGCTGTATTGGTGTCGCAAAAATAAACTTTTTTTTTTGGTTAAGTGTTGGATGATGTGAGTGTCTCACTTTATTCAAATCCTGAGCCTGGCCCAGCCTAGCACATTTGACCTTAGTTAGCATTAGTTAGAACTGGGTCAGAATGACCTTGTGTCTGATCTTTTGGTTTAAATGGGGAAAAGGTGTGATCAGAAGGCAACATCCAGCAGTCTTGCTTATCTATGGCTAGAGAGATTCTGGCTATGTGCATATGGAAAATTTTCTCAATAGGACAGAGTGAGCTCCCGCTGACCCAGTGGGATTAACCTAGTGGGTTGTGAAGGAGGTTGACACAGAGAAAAGAGAGTACCAGGGGGAAGAATTACCTGGCTAATATTGTATAGTCCTAAAAAAGCTGGACTAATAGCATAAGGTAAATGTAAGTAAATTGCGTGTGCTCTTCCAACAAAGAGAAACAGAGCTTTTCACGGACTCAGTAACAGCACAAGTAAAAAAGGCAATGCTAACGGAGGTGGGGACTGGCAGACCAGAGGCTGGGAGTATATCTACCACCCAGCAATATTGCTGGAAAATGTGAACTCAAAGTTTACAAAGGACAAAGAATGGGAGCGAGAATGGGGACGATTTTTATGTTAAGCTCTGTATATATTAGCTCTTTGGGGACCCATAAATAATTAGTGTGTATACTAGATTTATACCCATTTTTAAGGCTTGTACTGTGTTGTTTATCTTATTGTTCATCATATTTGTAATCTATAATACTGACTGACTTTCTGATAAGGAAACCAAACTTCAATTTTAACATTGGTCTTATGGAAAAATATACTCTGCTTCCTAGGATACAGCTTTCAGGAATGTATTGGGGTTACAAGTGGAGAATAACAAGGTGTGTGAGATGTACAATTCATTGCCAAATGAAGGACAGGTACAACTTGAATAGGTGAATTTAAAAATGGAAACCAGTTAGGTGCTGGGGGGCAGAGAGGGTGGGGTAGGCAAAGGTACAAAGACAGGGACAGCACAAGGAATATTTGGAGAACAAGTACAGGTATCTCCTTCCACATCAGGACTTTCCCCATTGTGGTTTCACTATGTTGCTGGATGGCATAAGAAATGAAATGGGAATTTTTTGGGAGTTTTGTGAAAGCCACAGACAACATGTGAAGGCCAGCAGATGACACAGAAAAAGTATAGAAATGCATAAAATATATGTATAGTGTTATATTTTATCTTTTTAATACCATAATAATTCAAACTTCTTCCCTGGTACAAAGGGGCAAAAACTTTACGCAGATCTTCCAGATTTGGGGGTGTCACACCCCTAAACCCCAGGATGTGGAAGGGATAATTATAGTTTTAGGTACAGAAAACTTACTCAAGAAATCTGACAGCAAAAGGAAAGTGAGAACCAAGATGATGGCTACCAATAAGATCAAGTGCAAATGTTCCTGTGATGGGGGAAATCAGTGTATGCTGGAAAGCAGAAAGGAAAGCACAGGTACAAAAGAAGAGATGGAAGAAGCCAGGGGGAACTGTGACAATTGAGGGAACAAGACCCTGAAAGGGAAGCATGGAATTGAAAATATGGAGCAGAGAGGTTAGCCTGGTTCCTGACCCATTTTTTGCTGTGTACATGGATCAAAGTATATTTATCTTTAATTAATATATACTTTAATTTCAGTATTATAAAGATTCAATATGAAATTGACATTATATTAATTTCCTTTTTTTCCTTTTCCTTTTTCCTTATTTTCTTGTATCTAGACATATCTAAAATCAGCTAGACACTCTGATGCAGGAGGTTGCTTAATTTCATATACAGGCTAATGAATAAGTACCATATATATATTTTTTGTCCTTAGAAGCCTGTATATTTTTAAATCTGTTGCTCAGATCAGAAAAAAATCCTCCTACCTTATAGTACTTTCAAACAGAACCTTTTTAAATAAAAAAATAAACAACAGCTATTAAATTTAAATTTTTTACTACTTTTTTTTTTTACTAGTTTACTCAATCTTCTCCCTCTACTCCCAAAACCTAAAAACAAATACATGGATCAGACATAATGGTCTCCCCTCTTTGACTGGTTTTGCCCTTCCCCCTTTTAAAAATAGTTTTCCAATATTAGTAATTAATTAAATTTTCCCCTAGACCTAGCGGACTATGTTCTTCCCACTGCCCAAATTATGATCTCATGGTAAGTTAGATAATCAGGCATTTAGGAGGGTACATTATTATACTCATTCATGACACTAGGGCACCATTGACTGCACAATGAATTCCTCTTCTCAATAATTATGTAGAACATTGTTTCTTATCCTTTTTCATCCCATGACATGTCAGAATGACAAACATTTCTTCCATATTTCTCTCCCTAGAGAGATACCCCTGAAAAAAGTGGGAGAGATCTGTAAGGGTAAATGGATAATATCCCCCTTATTCATCACATTAAAATGTCTAACATCAATGATCCGTTCTCCCCTCCCCCCATTCTTAGCACACAGCCTGGATCCAACATTCCTGAGAGACTGAGGGTGATACTGCTTGAGCACCACCTTTACTGTTCCTCTCTGTCTTATATCCCCTGCTCTTTCTCTTGTCCTTTCTCATAGGAAGAAACAGACCTCTGTCTTTCCCACATTAAACTCTATACCTGCATTCTTTTTTAAAATTCATTTTGTTTTCTATTTCCAAATTCTCAACCTCCTAGCACACTTCCTCTTATCAGACAGAAGGGAGAGAGAAAAGAGGGGTATATATTCCTGTATATCACAAACAAAACCCTGCAAGAACAGATAGTAAGAGACACCCCATTTAAAATAACTCTAGACAGTATAAAATACTTGAGAATACACCTGCCAAACAAACCCAGGAATTATATGAACAAAATTATAAAAAAAACTTCTTATACAAATAAAATTAGATTTCAGTAATTGGAGAAATATTCATTGTTCATGGGTAGGCAGGGCCAATATAAAAAAAAATGTCAAATTTACCTAATTTACATATTCAATACCATCCCAACTAAATTACCAAAAATTATTTTATTGAATTAGAACAAAACAATAACAAAATTCATTAGGAAGAACAAAAATTCAAGACTATCAAAGTAACTAATGAAAAAACGTAAAGGAAGGAGGTTTAATAGTACCAAATCTTAAACTATATTATATGGCAATATTTATCAAAACTATCTGGTACTGGCTAAGAAACAGAAATATAGATCAGTGGAACAGAGTAGACATACAATTTATAGCAGCAAATAAATATAGTAACCTTGTATTTGACAAGTATAAAGAATTAAGTTTTTGGGACAAGAATTCATTATTTGGCAAAA